CAATATGTTATTTTAATATTTCATCGCTTATTTAATTTTACCATGAACAAAAATCTTGAATTCCCATTTTTTTTATTGAACTGTGCCAATAAAATGCTGACATAACAGTGTGTGTACTGATCAAACAAGGTTCCTGTAAATACATTATTCATAAAATGTAAAATTATGTAACATAATAACAATATGTACAAAATAAAATATAACGTAAGATATATAACATAATAATGATGTAATATAAAATATAATATAAGGTTGTTATAAATCGTTCTATCATATAATAACTTCGAGAACATGATATTTATTACATAAATTTTTCAAAATCGTTTTGAAAAATACAGGAATCGGAATTTCGCTAAATATTGTTGTTGCTTTACTTCGAGGAAAAAGATATGGATAATATTAGCAGTTGGTATCTGTTTTCATGGATTTTCAATTATCTTCAACAAATAACAAGAGTTACTTATCGATACTAAAAATTTACTCCGAATCTGCAATATTTGCGAAATCTCCAGTAGAGAGCGCAGGTGTTTGATCAGGCCGGCGCTCAGGAGAGACGGAAGAACATATGTTTAAGTAGTGGCGCATGCGCAATCATTGCTTCCGCGACGTACCTAGCCATCTTTCCAGACAAGCAAAAGTGATTGTTTTCAGCTTTAGTCTTATTTAACGGAACTTTTATTAATGTCAGAGCCACAGTCCGCGCTTCTACTACGAAAACAATTAGCAGGTACCCAGTAAAAAGAGTATAAGTGTTAAGTGTAATCCGTGCAACGCATTCGAGCTCGACGAAAAGCCGGAACCGTTTTCATACTCCAAACTCGTGCGACCTCCTCACCGCCGTGTCTCGACCTTCAAGATCGCTTTGTGAACATTTTTTCTATCACGATATCAGTTTTATCGAAACCTCTGCAACCGTATCTGGCCGCCTCTTCGATCTTTCGTTATCTCACAGTGGCCCTGCGCCCGATTAGGGCGTGAAAATCAATACGGCTACGGAACCGTCGTGTACCTCCCATGAATAACTTTAACCTAGCATTCGAAATCGTGTTTGTCCCTAACAATATCCTTACGCGATATAAGTCGTTTTCGCTTATAATTTTCATGCATGACGAAGGCCGTTTTCACTGTTACCAAAAATAATTACAGGCTATGTTATTTATAGCATTTCGTACGTCACACCGTGGACGACGCGATTTCGACTAAAAAAAAAAGAAAAAAAAAACGACAGAAAACCATGCCGTGCAACGACCACCGAAGGTCAGCCTCCTTCAACCCGTAGTCTATTACTTTTGACGCGCGATCGACGCGAAAAAATATTTGAAATTATTACACATCTATTTTCTCTTAAATTGGTTTGTATGATTTACGATTAAAAAAATTTTTCAAATTACACACACAAATTTTTATATATAATATTGAGTCAACGCTGACTCACCACTATTAACTTGCGTGTATTTGACGGTTATTTAGTAAAGTTCGATTTGACCTCATAACCTGTACCAACGAATAAGAGAAGTGTTACAATTTCGTTTTCTATAAATATCGTATAGATTTATGTTAACAGTGTACTTCTAATGTATAACTGATTGTATTATGTTTTTTTTTTAATGAAGGAATACTTTTGGGGCTTTTGAACTGTATAAGTTACTGTACTTATACTTTTAGAATTGGTATAACACTATATAAATGTATTAAGAAAAAATTTCATCTGTACTTTCTTTTGTTTCCTAGAACTAAATAAAAACCCAGTAGAAGGGTTTTCAGCAGGCCTCATAGATGACAATGACATATATCAGTGGGAAGTACTCATTATTGGTCCACCAGATACATTATAGTAAGACTATTTTTATAATATTGATAATTGCATACTTATGATTCTATACATAATCATTTTTACATATCTTTTCATCCTTCAGTGAAGGTGGATTCTTCAAAGCACACTTAGAATTTCCAAAAGAGTATCCACTTAGGCCACCCAGAATGAAATTTATAACAGAAATATGGCATCCAAACAGTAAGTTTTATTTCTGCAGTCTTGAAATATGAATTATAAAATGAAAATATATATTATTATAATGATATTATTCCCTATTTGTAGTCGAGAAGAACGGTAACGTCTGCATATCGATTTTACATGAACCTGGAGATGACAAGTGGGGCTATGAAAAAGCTTCGGAACGGTGGTTACCAGTTCACACAGTTGAGACTATTCTCATAAGTGTTATTAGCATGCTTGCAGATCCTAATGATGAAAGTCCTGCTAATGTGGATGCTGCCGTAAGTAGACTGCGCATTAATGAAAATTCGTACAATGAAATAATATTGAAATGTTGTTAACAATAAAAAATATCTTATTACAGAAAGAATGGAGGGAAAGTTATACAGAATTCAAGAGAAAGGTGGCAAGGTGTGTCAGAAAAAGCCAAGAGGAGTGTTTGTAGAAGATGAACAAATATTCAAATGGAAAGACTTATTTAATTCTGGTAAGTCTATTGAAATATATGAAATATTTGAACTAAATATTGTTTATTTATAATTTTATATATATATATATATGTATCTACAGGGAAGCCGTAAGCACTGTAAGAAAGAAACCGATGCTCAGCATTAAGCTAAATGAATCACAGTGCCACTAAAAACGGATAAAGCCTGACCCATCCTTATACAAAGCGAGGGAAAGAGAGCATGTGTGAAAATAGAAGATAAGTTCACACACCTCTATCAAGTTTATACCACCGCCACTGACGTACCATCCATTGATGCGAAGAACATAAAGGAAATACATGCAGCTCACCTTTTACATAATAATAAACAGCTAAAAAAACTAATTTACACATATACATGAAGCAAAAAATCATCTGTACGATTATTACCTTAATATTGATAGATATAAATTTAACTTCCTTGTCCCTCCTGCTCAAGAGCTAGCCCAACCCATTACATCTAAAAAGTCTCGTAATTTAAAATGTTTATGTTTATCATCATTGAATAATAATTCCTTAGTGTCGTTTCGTATTTTCTTACTTTCGTAAATATATATAAATAAATTTTTGTAAAATCAACTACACGGTACATATATGCTACAATCGTTAATGTAATGCCAGTAAAAATGAAATCGAAATATATGTGAATCAACAGTGACACTGAAGCAAACATTATGTCGATTAAGCTGTATAATTGCAGCAATGTAAAAATAATGTGAAATTTGAACCGTAAGTTGCCAAAATAACAAATTCTAATTGAAATAATAATAATAATGTTATTATTGTTAGAAATATACCATTACTTGCAGCTGCTAAACATTGTAAAATTAAGTACACATCACAGAGATTTTGTACACATTCTTGGCCCGTACTAGTTTATAAATCAGATCAACATTTCTATTGTATTGAAACTTGCGGTTCTAAATCATAAATATACTTAAACTTAACTGATTTTTGTTCAACTATATATAATTTCATATCGTCAATTAAATTTTACAAGATGAAACGTGTCTTATGTTAAACCTATTT